GTGCACACTAAAACATTCACATAGCCACAGATTTCTCCGAGCTGCTGAGCACTCTCCACTAACTGGAAGTTGAGATATTCAGCACCTCTGAAAATCTGTCCCAGTTGCTGATGCCACCAACTGATAAGGTAATTTGTGTAACTGACAAAGAATGCAATTGTGCTTTTCTTAATATTCTCATACAGAATTTGCCTTTTCTCCCCCACATCTGCTTAGTAATGATCCTGCCAGAAAGGACACAACATTATATTTTGGAAAAGAAACCACCTTACCCTATGAGGCCACAATGGAATGGCTGTTGAATCCAAGCTATTTTCCTTCCAAAGTAAATAAATAGTGATTCTGATCAGCAAATGATGGTGATTTTCAGTATGGGTCCAAACCTTATGGCTACGTCTACACTGGCCCCTCTTCCGGAAGGGGCATGTAAATTTCAGCAGTCGTCGTAGGGAAATCCGCGGGGGATTTAAATATCCCCCGCGGCATTTAAATAAAAATGTCCGCCGCTTTTTTCCGGCTTTTAAAAAAGCCGGAAAAGAGCGTCTAGACTGGCCCCGATCCTCCGGAAAAAGTGCCCTTTTCCGGAGGCTCTTATTCCTACTTTGAAGTAGATAAGAGCCTCCGGAAAAGGGCACTTTTTCCGGAGGATCGGGGCCAGTCTAGACGCTCTTTTCCGGCTTTTTTAAAAGCCGGAAAAAAGCGGCGGACATTTTTATTTAAATGCCGCGGGGGATATTTAAATCCCCCGCGGATTTCCCTACGACGACTGCTGAAATTTACATGCCCCTTCCGGAAGAGGGGCCAGTGTAGACGTAGCCTATGTGAGTTACCCCATCCCTTTTGGATACATAGAATTAGGCAGGCAGTTTCATGAAACCAGGTGACATTTTTGGCTCACTGACAGTGTGAAAAACTGCCAAGGCTCAGAAACGGATCTTTTACAAACTTATAATACTGACAAGCCATCTAACCAATCTGAAAAAAATATTGCAATCAAATAATATGAGACCCTAAAATATTTCTCTTGACCCATGAGCACAATGGCTTATTCTGCACCCCCTGACCCTTCAGGAGTTGAACAAGTGTCACAGAGGGAAGCACATGTGTTAGAAGCAGTGTGGACTTAACATGGACTAAGAGTTCGTCCTCACTCTACTACTAAGACGTTATGAATGACATTATAGAAAAAATACATAATGCTCCAATAATCAGGCTACATATTGCTATCTGTGCATTAGAGTAGTAAACATTGTCACTTCTTGCCTCTTACACGCAGTTTTCAGTCATGGGATCTGTGTAAGTGTCAATTCAATAGTCTATTCCTGACCAGTCCTCACTGCTTCCCTCTGTGACACTTGTTCAACTCCTGAAAGGTCAGGGGGTGCAGAATAAGCCATTGTGCTCATGGGTTCCAGTGAAGCACTTTGGATGCATTTTCATGAGGTGAATTTCATCTCATGTTTGTCTAGGCAAATCAGGTTACCTCACCATGTCTATTTTATATTTGTAGTATGTGGATAATTATACTTATTTACCCCATATGGGGTATTGTGATGACTAATTTGCTACTGTCTCTTCAGCACTTTTATCATACGCAATGCAATACATACTAAGCAGTTTTTGCTGTTATTATTATTACTTCTTATTATTTGTTGATCTTTAAATACAGCAAAGGTCTTTGATGATTCAGTGGGAGTTGTGATTCCATAAGCATGGTATGATTTGTTCCTCCTAGCCATAAGTGTTTCAAACGAGGGCTTATATTTTTATATTGAATAACATAAATGTTATGCTAGTATCAGTTCATTAGTAAACATATTTGAAGTTTAAAGTAACACTTTTGTGCATGCATGGCAGTCTCAAAATCATTCCAATTCAGGAAGACTTTTGGTTCAGAATATGTCTCAAGTGACACACTGAAGAAATCTATTGGCTATAACCATGGTGTCCAACCAGTTCTGAAGCAGTAGTTTTTATAGTGGCTACTGTTATAGCAAACTAGCCGCACTCAACCAGGTGAATAGCCACATGTGGCTAGTGACTAGCATGTTGGACACCACAGGGCTATAATATAGTAATAAACCATACTATTAGTTAATTAAAAACTTAAAAATCAACTAATAGTCTTGCAGCAGCATAGAGACTAACAAAAATGTAGGTGGTATCATGAGCTTTCGTGGACACAACACACTTCTTCAGATTGGGTTGTGCCCATGAAAGCTCAGGATATCTTCTAAATTTTTTTGTTAGTCTCTAAGGTGTTGAGACTATTAATTGGTTTTTTTAAATGTTTTTTAAGCTTTTTAAGTTACAGACTAACATGGTTATCCCTCTGAAACATTAGTATATTAGTTGACTATGCTTTGAGTGTGTTGGGTGTGAGCATTGGAAAAGGCTTAGTTGACTAGTGAGAAAATAGCTTTAGACACCAGTGGTTGAACTAGAGCCATGTGAAATTTAATAATGTGGTTTTCATGAGTTCATGTCAAACTTGGAAAAGACCTGCCCCTGAATAGTCCATCATCCATTAGTTAGGATGCTCTCTTGAAAGCTGGGAAATGTGGGTTCAAATTCTTGTAAGGCAGAGTGAGAAATTGAACTTGAGCCTGGAACATCCTGGATGAGTGCCCTAATCACTGTGACAAAAGTTATGGTGGAGGAAGGGAAAAGGTGGCACACTACCACATCCTCCTCTGATATTTTGGGCCAATCTGTTAGGAGGCTTTTGAGTTAGACTATGAGCTCAAGCTTGGAGATGATATAGGCAGGGTAAGCCTAACCCAATAATCCCTTTGGAGCTAGGCATAAGATAGGTGCCCAGGCATTCAGACTGAGGCAGATATGTTCATGCCCAATGGCAGATTTTTAAGTACCTAAGGGATTTTAGTGGCTGAAACATAGGCACCTGAGGACTTTAGGCACCTACAGGGTTGGGCGGCTGCCGAACAGAGGGGTTGAGAGTCCACATTTTTTATTAAGGCATGTAAGTAGCTGTTAAGAATCTAAATCCCATTGGGACTCTATCCCTTAGTTTTCATATACTTTGATATGGCAACAATAAGTCTGCTCAGGTTCACACACACATTAAGAGCCTGGGCAGAGTTCCAGCCCATGACGGCTTATGTCCAAATGAATTTGTTAGTGTTTAAGTTTAAACCACAAGTTGCAGGGCCATCCTGCAATCTGACTTTTACATGATGGAACTCAAATGCTACTCAAATAGAGCAAACCCAGATGTCTAGCTTTCTTGTATCCCCAGCATGGGCTCTGATTGTCCCCCAATGTTTGCTCTGGAGAGGTCTCCTTCATAAGACTGTCCTCCTTTCCAGTAGGGCTCTTCTTAGAGTCTGAGGTTGACATGGGGCGAAGGAGTGAAGACCAGGTAGGCCTGGCCAAGGGGTAGATGAGCCAGGGGCTGTGTTGTGGCAGGCTGCACATCATCTATCATCTGGGCTACCAAGAATCCCAGGAGAAATAATGCAGTTCAAGGGTATATTGTCTTTACCCTAGAGTCTCTTGGAACCCAGGATTGGTGCAGTCAGGAGAAAATCCCTGGTACCATGGTCCTTACTGGGTAATGCTTCTATGTATGTCAGAGTCAATAGAGTCAATAACCCTGGCTTACTTTGTGGAACTCTATTGGACAGGTAGGCTTGGAAGTTGGGCTCTGAAGTCTTCTAGTCTCTGAGGGTATGTCTACACTACTCTCCTAGTTCGAACTACCGGGGTAATGTAGGCATACCGCACTCGCAAATGAAGCCCGGGATTTGAATTTCCCGGGCTTCATTTGCATAAGAGGGGCGCCGCCATTTTTAAAACCCCGCTCGTTCGAACCCCATGCAGCGCGGCTACACAGGGCATGAACTAGGTAGTTCGAACTAGGCTTCCTAGTTCGAACTACCGTTGCTCCTCATAACTAGGAAGCCTAGTTCGAACTACCTAGTTCGTGCCCCGTGTAGCCGCGCTGCACGGGGTTTGAACGAGAGGGGTTTTAAAAATGGCGGCACCCCGCTTATGCAAATGAAGCCCGGGAAATTCAAATCCCGGGCTTCATTTGCAAGTGTGATATGCCTACATTATCCTCCTAGTTCGAACTAGGATGGTAGTGTAGACATACCCTGAAAGTGTTAGGGTGTGAGTTGTTTTTTTTTAAATTTTTTGGGTGGTAAATAATGATCTGATATGGTCCAAGGAACATGCACAAATACTTTTGTGATTGTTTTGTTATGTCTGAGGTCATGTCTACACTAGGAAATTATTTTGAAATAACTTATTTTGAAATAATCACTCCTGGAATAACTATTTCAAAATAGCATGCCCACACTACAGGAAAGCCTCAAAATTAGTCTGAAGCAGACTCCCTTCATGTTGATGTGCTACCTCAACTTAAAGCCCCAGGATTCACTGAGCAGTAATTACTTTGAATTCGTCTGGGGAGTAGTTATTTCAAAATAGCAGCAATGGAGTATCCACACTACTGCTATTTAGAAATAACTATTTCAAAAATAAGCGTTATTCCTTGTAGAAAGCAAGACTTATTATTTTGAAATAACCAGCCCCTTACTTTAAAATAACAGGACTGGTAGCTTGGCTCCGTTTGTTATTTAGAAATAAGGGAGTTATTTCGAAATAACTCCCTAGTATAGACCAGGGCTGAGTTACCTAGCCTGAAAGGGGTGAGTTTCAGGCTGTGATGGCTATTGCTTTCTAAGTGTTTTGTGGATGAGAATTGGTTGGGGAAGTATTCCTTTCCTTTCCTTTCCTTTCCTTTCCTTTCCTTTCCTTTCCTTTCCTTTCCTTTCCTTTCCTTTCCTTTCGTCTATCTCTGTCTTTTTTTCTTTTTGTTTTTCTTTTTCTGTCTGGCTGTGGTGGGGGAGTGAGTTAGAGTTTGGATCACTCAAGATTGACAATGTCTCAGTAAGACTGTATGGAGAGTTCAGTCCCATAATTTTGTGGCAAAACTGCCATGAGCTTCCACACAGGAATGGGCCCAGTATTACACAGCTCTTAGGCATCCATGAATACAGACTTAAAAGGGATTCCATCAATTTGTCTGTGTTTCTGTCAGTCTGAGTAAATCTAAATTAAATAGCTAGTTAAGTACACCTAAGACATTTATTTTGAAGTG